TATTACATTTTTTATAATTTTTATTGCAAAATTACAGTCCTCGTATTAAATGTTTTCGGAATACGTTTATTTTATTATTTGTACTGCTCTTTATACAAGATAATCAAAAGTATTACATATTCTATAAAAATATTATTCAATCAGTATTAATACTGGTCTAGTTTGGTCAAAATCTGTTGATTCTCAAAATTCATTTAAAGTACCATATCCTTCAACATAAAGATTATAACTTTGACATTTAATCCATGAATAATTCAGTACTTTGAATCACTTTGGGCATAAAAGTGGTATTTTAATCTCTGAAACGATTATAATTAGCGCGTTTAAACTACGGAGTGTAAAAATAGATAATAACAGTCTTATTACAAAATTGATCATTTTAAGATAAAATTGCATTGTTTGTGTTTTTGTTTAGAAATCAATAGTTTATATATAGGAGAGAGCGGAGTACGTTATAATACATTTACCAATTTGATTGTTTTTAATTATAATGGGTTGATTTGAAATCAACATATGCAAATAACATATCAGGGATATTATTCAATAATTTTAATACATTTTCATATCTCCAGATGGTAGATATAATAAGATTATTATGCCAGTGTACTTCGAGATTGGGACAGGTTATAATATCCTTCAGGGAATGTTGACATTAGCCGTTTTCTTAAAATAATTTGTGACCAGAAATTAAGTCGAATATTAACCATTTTTAATAAAAAATGATTGTTTTGGTCATATGAGGCAGGATATCATAGTGTTCAATTTTAACATATTCGTTATATAATTATCAATAACATACCTTATATTTTTAGTTAGAATTTTAACATATTTCGTTATTAATTAGTATTGTGGTGTAAGGAGTGCGATTTAAAAGTAAATTGCCTTCCTACCATTAATAACAACTAACCCCTGTCTCCCCTACCTACGTAATTGGTAATATCCTATAGAAATTAGTTCTATTGCAAGATAATCCATTCATTATTATCTAAAAAAGATTGTGTATTATCTTTTCTAATAAATAATTACAGCAATATAATTGCTTCAAGAGTAATATAAAATGTTATCATCAAATTGTTGCAAATCACTAATATTTTAATCAGTACGATAATTTTAATCTAGTTAATAAGTGTTTAGATTTAAAAAAATTATAATCTTCAAGATTAACGAAATGAAGTTGAACTTTGACACGTACAGAAATATACTATTGGCAAACAAACAATTTTACAAATAAAAATATTCAACACTTGATTGGAAACCTCAAGGAATGTATCGAGTTTGTTTATAGACCGTCAGATAGCGACAGGTTTAGGTGCCCCATTTTCGCAGACAAGTCTCGAAGGGGGTTGAAAAGTATATCGATTTTGAGTAGAATGAAAGGAAATTTACGAGTGGCTCTTGGGAATAACATGGAAAATTCGATTTTTCAGAAATTAAAAGGTACTTGTTGCCTATATTTTCACGAAAGCCGTGTCACTAACTGATTAACTAATAGAACAAGGCTTCGGAAAACCAAAGACTTTAATGTTGTAAGTCGCTAAAGGGTTGAAATAAGGGCGTAATCTTGTAAGGAAAAACCGATTTTTCCACAGAAGCCCATCGAATGCGTGAAATTATACATCGAAAAACATATTGACTTGAATGATCCGAATAAATAAGTGCTTTTTTAGATCGTAAAATATTTCTGTTCTTGAATTTTCCATGTGTTATCACCAAGAGCCACTCGTAAATTTCCTTTCATTCAACTCAACATCAATGTACTTTTCAATCCTCTTCAAGGCTTGTATGCGAATATGGAGCACCCAAATCTGTCATTATCTGACAGTCCATTATAGGTACATTGACAGGCAAATATAATCACAAAACTCGTTGTCTACCAATAAATCTTTCAATACTTTTTCCGATAGGTAACCGTATTGTCATTCAAAATTTAACTACGAATTAGAATATACGACATCAAATATATATAATGCACTTCTATGTAGTATTATTGCAGGATTATTTTACGTAGCTATAAAGAAATGTAGTTGTTTGATAACTAGGTATCAAAAAATAATAAATTTAGTTATTATTGTGTAAAAATTGCGAAACCTTGCATGCATCAAATCTGGTTCGTCTTAAATTCATTCTAGAAATTTATTTATCAGACCAGGCCCGGCGACACAACTATTTTTGCCCGTAACTCAGATTTATATGTTGGTCCTTCTGATCAATAGTTGATACTATTGTAGTCTGCAAGTGTTACCAATAAGTCGCAATTTTTGTGCTTTTGGTTTATGTTTCGCGATTTTATTGCGTTTTTTGCGGTTTTTACCTGAACACGGTAACGAAATTAAATTTACTCACATTCGGTTAAAGTTGTGGAATTGAACCCTTTGAATCGGTCTGGTTAGCCAGGAAAATAATTTTTCCGGCTAGCATGTGTCACTTCCTTACCCGCAAATGACACTATATGCTTCGTGTTTTCGTATCTCTTCCTGATTTTTTCAGGAAGCATGTCTTGGGTAGCTTTTTTTGTAGCTATTCACATTCGTATGGGGCACATTCAAGTAGGTACACTGTCGGACATATTTGTAAGTATATAAATACAATAATTATATTATTAAAAGTGCCGTTTAATATGTAACTGGCAAAATAATTACTAGTGTCAGATTCAACCAACTTATTATATTGCCTAGCAAGGGTCTTACCGATTTTTTTCTTGAAAAAATTCATCAAATTATGATATAAATGAATACAGATATTATTTGAAATTTATATAAAATTACTAATAGCAGATTGTGAGTAAAATCGTATACAAACCTCGGAGGAATTAATTCTAACCTCGCGTCTGTAGCTTACCTCGGTGCTTCGCAATTCGCTACCTTGACGATCGGCTGTATTACAGTACTTCCCCGCTATTTTCTTTTTTTTACTCATATAAATAACGAATTTTGATATTCAAAACAATCGTATACATTTTTAAGAAAATGTATATTTCCAAAACGTATTGAATATAGAGATACCTACTTGTAAATTACCATTTTTTTATGCTATTAAATCAGATATTGCTTTTTATGTTGGTAATAAAGTTGCACTTTTATATCAAAAATGGAGCTTTTTTATGCAGGAACATTGCGCTTATTATTTCTTCAGCACTGGCAATACTGTACGCTGCCATACTGCACAATTATTTTTATTATAGAGCTATTACATGTGTCATAACATTATATGGACCCCTATCGTCCAGTAGGGGGTAAATAGCCGTAGCCGTAGTGACCCCTTGTCAGAGGATCTATACATAATTATATTTTTCTCTGTCCAATCACTTAAGCTTAAGACTAATGATCCGAGGTGTCGTTTTTTTAGCATATTATCTACTCTTCTTTACATTTTTATTTTATATGGTAATTTCGCTGAGAACTTAATTCTTTTCAACTTTCTATTCATACACTTTGTTCTCCACTCTTAGACCGTCAGATGGTTACAGGGTTAGTTGCTCCATTTTCGCATACAAGCCTCAAAGAGATTTTGAGTAGAATGAAAGGAAGTTTACAAGTAGCTCTTGGGGATAACACATAGAAGATTAGATTTTCCTTAACAGAAATTAAAGATATTTGTTGCCCACATTTTCACGCAAGCCGTATTCGCTAATAGAACAAGGATACGAAAAACTAAAGGTTTTAATGCAAAGTGACTTAAATATTTCTGTTATCCCCAAGAGCCACTCGTAAATTTCCTTTCATTCTACTCAACATCGATATGTTTTTCAACCCTCTTCGTAGCTTATATGCGCATATTGCTTGTGCAAAGGTCAAGATAGTTATTATATCATTCATTTGTTTCTTCTCTTCTTTCCTTCGTATATTTTCCTTCTCCAAATGTCTCCTATACATTCCCCAAGTTCGGGTATTGTGCGCAATAGGTGATCTTCTTTTCTTGCTTATTATGAATGATCTCTATTGCAAATGTAATGATTTTATATTATATAGTATAATTTTGTTGTTTATTCTAGGCTATTTAATTAACAACAACCTTTTATATTTAATATACAGTATTGCATTATTTTTTGATACCTAGTGTTTAATAATGAAGATAAGGCAAAAATAAGGTTCAGGGGATAATTTGTGGAACTCCCATTCTCGATAATTTCAATTATTGAGAATAAATGCTTATGTATGAAGTGTTTTTTTATTTTAAGTAATGACTAATATATTAAATATAGGTTTGATGACAATGTTAGGAAAAGGTATTGTGGCGAATCAAATCATACGATTTTACAAGATCACTTGCATGTCAGTTAAAGTTTGCAGCCGTTGGATACATCAACATTTGCGAAAAGAACAAAAACAGACATATGTCAAGTGGTGCAAGGAAATTAGTCATCTTGACCCATATGAGCAGCTATCGTCTATATGGGTGTTTCAAAATGAACCTTAACCAGCTAAAGTGATGCGTCCATGAAGTGTTTTGACAAAAAATTATTCTTTGCTTCTTGCAACTATTCTATTAGAGGATAGAAGTACAGTTAACGCTGATTGGTATACTTCAATTTGTTTGCCGGAAGTTATCGTTGAACCCAGAAGACCGACGAATCATTATTCATCATGAAAGTAGCTAGAAATACACTTCAGCACACTTTCTCCATTTTTTCCCTAGATCTGGGGAAAAATTTAGAGCAGATTTAGCAACGTCTCATGTCGCATCGTGTTATTTAGCAAAATATTAATATTTTGAGGTCCTGAATCTATAAACCTATAATTAAAATACTGGCCATTTCTTATGAAATATTCTGTATATAAACGAGCGTTTAGTAAAACATATTTTCAATTTTTGTTACTAGAAATCTGTATAAATCATAACGCTAACATTTTTTTAGTTAACTAGATATCTCAATGAGATAAAATTATAAAACTGTTTTAAAATATTTCCGTATTAAAATCTACAAAGGGTTTAAAAAAATATGATTTACTACAGTTTTTTGGAAGTCTGATGGGTAATTTATTGATATATTTTTAATTATACAGCTTTTTCTATTTTTAAAACTACATGCTTCTAGAAATTATAACTATATTTTTGCAAATTTTAAATATTCAATAATTTTGTTTTTTCTGATATTTTAACAACAAATTTTTCCTAAAAAAAGACCATTTAAATTTGCAAAAATATAACTTAACAGCATTTTGTAAATTTAAGTAACAATCTAAAATGATGTCAATCACCTTTCTGCTCTTTTGGGCTCTTTCGCACTTGCATTTACTTAAATTTTAAATAAAACAATTACCTACGACAAGTTGCAACAAAAATACTTAACTTCAACGTCACTTGAAAGAGTTTTCTTTACAATGAACACAACGGTGGGTATATTTTCTTGCAACTGGCCGTTAAGTAAAGTATTTTAAAAGCTATTTTAGTGTCATATGTATAATATAAGTGTGGTCTGACTGATTCCTTTTCATGAGCTTCATAGTCTCAGTATGATATGTTTGGATAAAATGTTTTAGATGTATTACATAATACAGTATTGAATTATTGAATTAGATTTTAGATAAAAATATATTTAGAACTACGAAAACAACAATTTTTAAAAGGTTAAATCAGTTTGGTAAAGAGAAACTCTCACAAATATTTGGAATATTGTAATTTTCAAATATTTTTGAGTCACCCTATACAATAAAATTTTAATACTTAGAACTATAGTTTGACAATAAACTAAAAATAAAATAAGTTAATGATAAATATTCAACAAGGTGTTTTTTTTTTGGAATGTACATGTACAGTGTAAACAAGGAATACTAATTTTGGGAAATTTACTTTAGCAGTAATAAATTTCAAATACTATAAATACTTAAATTTGTCAAAAGAAGTTTGCTAGCAAAAGTCTCCTACAACCACTATAATTTTTATACCTGATTTAAATAATAATAGATAAGAAGTTAATAAAAAAAGAAAAAAATTATTCAAATGTTTGCGACTCTTGTTGTACTAATTTAAAACGCCTGGGGCTTTTAACACACATCGAACCATGTCCATCGAAAGAAATTCTGCCTTTTGTTTGCAAGTACCTCTTGATATACCTTGCAACTAATATTTGAGGTCTTAATTGCCATTCAACTAATACCTCTTTAGGCGTACACACCTAAAAACGAAAAATTAAAAATAAAATAAATGTGATCCATAAGGATCCGGCATTGAACCCATTCTATTTTGTTATGTATACCTGGTCTCCTTTCAGCCTATCTAACAGCGTTACGCAGACTACAGCTGCTTTGATTCCTGCGTGATGGGTTAGAGCAGCGAACGTAGTGGCTTCCATTTCTATGTTTTTAATACCAGCACTTCTTAGACGTTCAAGATATTCCATTTTTTCGGCTTCGGTGTAGTCACAAAATGCGCCATCCAATCTTCCTTGGCCTATAATATTTTTTTTTTGAGTTTATATTTAATTCACTTTATTCGTTTGGATTTTAAGAGACCAATTATCTTATCAGTGTTCAAATGTTTATTTCAATTTACAACAAACTGTTTATGTTTTTTTTTCACAAAATTTTTATTTATTCGGGATTTGAATTAAAGATCCGCAAGCTGCCTTTAAAAAGGGGGTAATAGTAAGATTTTTTAATATTATAATTTTGATAGTAATAGACATTATTATTTTTGAAATTTAATAAATTGAATGGTAAATTAGAAATATTTTTAGGAACACTAGATTTTCAGATAAAAACAATTAGTTCAAATCTCATTAATTTTTATTTGTACCTTCATAGAAGTCATCAGCACACATGGTGGTGCCCGTAACGGTATCGTAAAGATCTTCTGGAGTTGATAAGGCCTTTAGTTCCCTGGCTAGTTTTTTATCTAGTTTTGCAGGCCTCTTTACTATTTTTCCAAGAATTGGCTAGAAAATGAAAATAATCGGTTAATATCTGTACTTCTCTATAATATTGAATAAACTAATATTTTTGTTTTAAAAGAACAATTAGTTTATCACAATTTACAGACATATTAACTCACCACTTGGTAATATTTATTCATCATGCCATCTGACGCATCGTCAGAAATAACTACCGTTCCACCATCCAGACCAATACCACCGCATGTTCCAATTCTAAAGAAGATTGGATCCCTACATTTAGCGTGGTACATTAGTTTTATCACCTCGTGAAGAAGTATACCAATAGATGGAGCTCCCATACCATGCTGTACATAGAGAAACATGTTATTGTTCATTTATTTAAATTCGACAAAAGCAAAACTATTTTTATATAAATGGCTCTCACAAATACTGCCACAACTAAAATGCTATTGTTTTGAGAAATTTTGTTTTAAAATTTTGTAAGCCTCTATTATCATTATTTTGTTTTTGGAATAAAATCTTTATATTTTATTTAAAAGCTACGACATTTTGCTGTTAGAATGAACGATTATGATTATAAAAGCACCTTAACTTGAGTTATTGCGAAATTTGTAAAAAAATTGGATATTTCTGCAGAAAATAACACGAATTGAGTCAGTTTTAGCTACTGGATTTTAAATCATTTTAGCGCATCTCTAAGAATGTTTTGGCTTGTGGCGGTATTTAAAATAAAATTTCAATGATATTTTGCATCCATTAAACTAAAAATGTAATTTTCTTGGTTTTTTGACTTGTGGTGGTTTTTGATTGAGCCATCGAATATAACGAATCAGAGTGTGATTGAAAATTGCAACTCTAGGTATTTTTGATATATTTTTTTTCTCTTAGAGTAGGTCTTTGTCTACTCAGACCGAATAGCTTTATATGTGTTCAACTGTTTGAATGATGTAAGTGAGTAGGTTCTTAATATTTTCCACATCTTGCCTGTATTCAACAGATATTTTCGCAGGAATACATTCCTGAAGCAAGAAAATAAATCAATGAAAAATAAAAAATTGGTACTCTCGGTGGGAATCAAATCCGCGCTCTCTGTCTTGCCAGGCCAGTGTCCTAACCTTTTGACCATCCTGCCATCTAAAAAAACATTGAGATGGTAAGATTTTGCGTGACTGGTTAGATAAAAAAATTCCGAGGAACCGAGTTGGTGATCGCAGGATGGTCAAAGCGCCCTTCGATTGGTTTATTTGGTGTTCTGTTAGCATATATAAGGAGGAGAGGATGGGTTGCCGCCACAGCTTCATTTTTCACTAGGCCCATTGTGCATCCATTTGAATCGATTAGGTCTCTATTAGCTGCAAGAATACCAGTGGGTTCAGGCTGAACTACACTGGCACTATTGTTCATAGTTTGGATAGCTTGTTATATTTGAGCACCGGTGGCGTAGATATGAATCGTACCTGTCACTTCCGCTTCTTCTATATTTTTATTCTGCATAGGACGTATAAAAGGCATTATATGTATAGCGCTAAGATGGAGCCCATGTGGAAACGTGTCGAGTCTACTGATAAAAGCGATTCTGCGTCTGGTTCTATTCCAACCATAAGGAGTCGTGTCATTGTCATTAAAGCAGCATCCCTAATGTAAATATTAAGGAGAGTGCGTCAAATTATTTCCACAGTTGTGGTTGATGTGTTTTTAACTGTCCCGTTATGTCGAGACATGCTGTTATTTGAATTTGTTCTAGTTTGCGGATATTGGTTAGGATCTTTGATTTTGGTACCCAATAAAACTGCACAATTTGTTACCATAGACCTTATTGTGGCCATGTAACTCCATGTGATGACTTTAAAGGAGATATTTCAGCAGTAATTTATGTTAAAAAAAATTGTATTGAGTTGACTATTACTCGCGCTCTTCTTTGTCTTGTGCTCTTCTTTGTCAAGCCAAATTTTATTCATGGTCTTGTAGCATCTGTTATATTGCAGAAAAGTTCTAGGACATCAATGTCTTTTTTTATTAGTCGGTTTGCTAGTTTGTTTACATAAATCATCTGATCAGTCATGCTTTTGTGTAGAATTTTGGTGGTATGATTCTCAATATGGCAGTTAGGAAAAATTGTAACTATATTTCCCTAAAACTTTTAGTTGATATTTTCTGTTGAAATTAAACTAAAAGAGTTTTTCTGATATTTTGTCATCATGAAGCGAAAAGGTGGAATACAATAATTTGTCTATATAGATTGCTTTAAGGGCTGGCAATTTTTAGGCTTGTTTCTTAGATTAGTCGATTACCCTTGTTTTTACTATCTCCTCATGTATGTATATTGAATTTACATTTGAAAAATTTATTCTGTTTTTTGTTCAGATATATCTTGAAACTTTGTGGAAGTTAATCTAATTAAAATGCCCAGCCTATTTTAATTATAGACATCAAGTTTCTCTACAAAGTCATGTAAATACAACAAAAATTATTCAAGAATAACCCTAAAAAGTAATGAAGAAATAAAAGATAGTTTTGTAATTTTTGAAAACATATAGCGTGTTCTGGAAAATTAAAGTAAATCTGTAAAAAGAGGAGTGTCAAAGTATATCTGGTTCGTCATCTAGTGAATTACTGTTGTCAATTAATCAACATCAAGGTTTTATACTACATAATTTTTAAGTGTTTCCTATTTTGTAGTAGGTAATTAATAAATAATATATTGTAGATCAATTATGTATTCGTTAAGGTTGTTAAAAATGAAAAAAAAAAGTTGTAAAGAGTGATTCACAAAAAACAAAAAATGTTTCTAAAGTAGGCCACGACGCACGATTAAATAAAATCCAAACTGACACTTCAAAAGAAGAAGAATTTTACTATCCAACATACTAATTTGTCCAAGGCTTACTTTGGAAACATTTTTTGTGTATCACTCAATATTTACTTACGCTAATGGATAGAACCGGGCCCACTTTGTACATACTATAGCGGTAGGAATACTGACTTATGTCCATTAGTTGTGTGCCGGTGGGCAACCTGTGGCCAATTTCACTCATGATATATTCAGCGAAGCTTTCCATTCTTTTTGGCGTTCCTCCCATACACACAAACTAAAATAAAATACAACAGAGTAAGAATAATTAGAGAACTGCTAGTCTAAGTTTATTCTTCTTAATGTATTATGTAACGACTTTAGCGGAAACAAATTTATATTTATATTAAATGGTAATTTTACTTTGGAAGAAAGAATATAATTTTTATAATGTTACAATTTCGTTTCATATCAGCTCCAATCCGGTTTACGTTTTGTTCTATTTACCAGAGAGTTTTCTTGGTCAATAGCATAACAACATAAATTTTGGTCAGACTACATAATGTAGCTAATTATATTAAGAAAAGCGCGCAATTATCAATTTCGATATAAAACGACTGATAGTTGATGGTTTAAATGTGACTGAATTTTACCGATCGTATATGTAACGGTTATGGAAAGGCAATACGACATAAGAATATAGAGTGAGGAAGGAACTTGGCAAAAATGCGCCAATTTGTGCCGATAGGTATATTCAATCCTGTACTGTACTGCGTCATTTCACCACGCGCTATACATTTCTCAATTTGTGCCTTGCCTAAGGTGTCCAAAATATTTCTGCAGACGTCAGTACTCTACATGCCAGCATTCAATCCATCAAACTCATACACCTTCCAGAGATATCGACATCCGAAGACAGGTCTTCTCTTAATGATGACTTTGAGATTATTACAAACTAAATTATCAAGAACGTGGTGGAAATTAACGTCTACAAAATACAATCCTGCATACTTTCAAACTATAAAGTTCGCTAAATTGACTGTAGTTGGTAGGTCGAACGCCACTGCCGTTCATTTTCTATATAAGTCAATGTAAAATGATGTGATTTTTTAAAAAAATTGGTGAAAAGTATCAAAATAATGTGACAAAAAGTACCTGAGTAGAAGTAACATGAGTTACAAAACCCATTAAAGCAAAATTTACTTCACTCCAGAATGTAAAACAGGGTACAAATCAGATGTAAAACTAAAGAAAACTCGAGAATAAATCAATTCAATGTCTTTTTAGAGCTTCTAATGTAAGTAAAATAATGTATTTATGTCTAAATATAATATTTATTGTAAACTAGTGACAACACGTATTACTGAATGTAGTTTATTTTATTACAAGTTTCTATAAAATAAAATTTTAAAGTCATAGATCCTGACTTACAAACAACACTAATTATTCAAGAAATTTAAATTACTAGAAAAGAAAATTTGTTTTTTTTATAGAGTTTTAATGTTAGATAACGAGTTTAACTGTTATTTTTTTGTTGAACCTCAATTTTGTCATTGTAAATGCTTTTTATAGGATCCTAAACGATTAGAACAGTGGCAGCATATATATCGTTCCTAGGGCTGATAAAGCACTTTCTAGAGACGATGCTGTTCTATACTTTTTTAGAAGATATTTCCAAATATTATGAGACTCTTTACTGATGGTAATGTTAGCAAAATAAAAAGGAGAAAGCCGAAATTATATTATATATTTTGTGTTCAAACAAATTTGAACACAAAATTGTACTTAGCAAATTTCAACATTTAACAAATCTTTTTTGAATTTGATCATACCTACCTAATTTGTATTTTATATAGATAAAATTAAATAATTTATCAATTAATACATGCGAGACTTATTTAGAAATAAATACAACAGTATATTCTGTGCTTTATTTGGCAATAAACAAGTTTATTTGTATTATTTTGACAAAATTATGTAAAGTTCCCATAAGAAGCCATGTATTTTGAACAACTCTACTAGCACCAGCGCCCTTGCGGTGAATTAGAGAAGCTCAATTAGCGTTCGTTTTTTTGGGACCGTATTTCGAGTACGCCGATTCGCCTCCTTATCTCTAGTCGTCATATTTCAAACAAAAGGCACACCAACCCCTAATCTAGTGTACTCATGAACAATTGGATTGTGTCTGACGAGATTCTTCTTAAGTTAATCAGTGTTAGTATTCATGTATCATCCATTGCCACAACCGCTGCCTGGTCAAAAATTGGATTTCACATTAAGAATAATTAAATATTAATTTTCATATTTCTAAAATTGCATTCAGTTTTTCGGATCTCAACTGATTATTCTCAGTTTACTTCTCCTTCATCATAAATTAAATACTTTACCTCATCTAATATTTTGACGCATTTAAATATTCTTCACAAATTTGGATAGTAGCAGAAACTATAATATTTTAAATTCTCTTGATGCAATTCAAAGGAGAACTATACGGAAAATGGAAACAAGTTACCGGTGATTACAGCTGGGTTTTTCAGTCTTTATAACCGATATACAGGGTTTTATCGATTTGGTTCATTTACTGAATCAATTCGTCAAAGAACATGGACACTATATTTTACGGTTACCCCCTTGCAATCCAAAACTCAACCCATATTGAGAAAATTTGGGCATTAGTGAAACGTCACATTCAAAATGGAAGACGTATACAAGAACAAACAAAAGAAAAACTTTCGAGTGTTACAAAGGAGGGATGGATTAACAGTTGTGAACATGTACAAATATTGTAAGTATTGTATAACTTCTAGTTATCCAAAATGGTTCAATGCTAAATTAAGGTTTTATGTTCAACAGAAGAAAATAGCTCATAAAAAATACTTAAATGCTCGCAATCAAAATGATTATCACTTTTTCATTTATTTAGATGAATATGTAAAATCTTATCAAATCAAGATTATTTGAATCACAATCACATAAATAATAATTTATGTAGTAATCCAAAATATTTCTAGGAATACATTAGGAATAAGAGATCTTCAAATGATTTAACAAATTCTATGTTTTATGGAGATATTTCGGCAAATGAAGGAAATCAAATCGCTAACAGTTTTTTTCTGATTTCTTCTCTACAGTTTACTCACACGAAACTTCAACTGATTATGAATCTAATTCTAGTAACAGTAATGTTTATCATAATATACCAAAATTTTCAGTGTTAATTGAAAGTATTTTTAATCAAATCTTAACTTTACCTGATAGGCTTATAGTCTATATATCTTATAGTCCTGTGTTTTTGAGAGGTCCCCAATATATTTTTGTGGCATTATGTTGTCCAAGGTGTATATATTAAACATCTTTGGTTACCAGGCCCAAAAATGTCCAGTTTAGTTTTTATACATGGTGGTGATATGACACATATGACATTAGAGTGTTCCACATACACTTGTGTTTTTATATACTTAATACATCAGTTTTTGTTCATTTTGTCACGGTTCAATAAAGCTCAGAATATATCTGTATAATAGTTGTTGTTTAGATTATACAGGGTGGTCCAAAATATCAGCATGCAACAAAATAGAGGTAGAAAAATACGAATTTATTTCGAATCTCTTAAAACATAAAATTTTTACATATTATAGTGATTATTGCACTGGTTTGTCTGCAGTTACAGAAGAAGCAACACGCTAACCCAGTGATTCTACAACCACAACTGTTTTCTCGAGAACAGTCTGAATAATTATAGCTGGGTACAAACTCTTCAGTTGGAGGAAAAAGATTTGTTACAACCAAATTGGAGAGGATCGAAAAGATTTGGTGTTCTCTCCAAACAGTGATTTTGAATATATACAATATAAAAAGCTCTTAGAATACAGAATCTTATGTTTGAAGAAAAAAGTTTTTCTTCACATAGTGACAGTAATTTAAGAGGAATACAACTATACTATCTGATGATGAACAACAACTTTATTAAATTAAGTCAAAACAAGTGCACATAGCACTTTTCGTAATTTAATTCTATTTATATGGATAAAATTATTATTATTATTTACTTATAAAGGCGGGTACAGATCTGAGCACGTACGCGTTTGAAGCAAGCCCAGGACGCGTGAGCATGCAGATGTGGACGGGCTTCTGAGGCGCGGCAAATTGCCTCGTTCTGTGCGGCTTGCGGCCTTGCCCCGATCCATTTGTTGGTGGTACATCAAAGGGAGACAATTCGCAGTACGTGCTCAATCTGGATGGGGAATTTGTACTATACAACACCAAACAAATTATAGTTTCTAAGGTTTATTTTGGATGGATAGGAGCCAGTAAAACATTTTGTTTCTCTTGGATTTATATAATCAGCAAGTTGTCTTATGGAGAGCAAGCTACCAGACGCCTTTCGTCTGCTAAGAGGTCATCCAACAAATAAGTACTATTTCTATTCGTATTCAGTGCTGAAGGTAAAGGTGGTGTATTTCATTCGCCCATTTGGTAGCGGGCCGCTATAGGCATTACTAGCCTTTTCAGTTTCAGTAGAGGGATCAGAAATCGAATCTGAGGGGATGGGGTTGAAGGAATGGTAGTAGGTATCTGAGAGGATATTACTGGCCCAGCATTTGCCTATTTCTATAAGAAAACCTCTAAAAAACTCATAGTAGGCCAGTCGGCAGATACGTGACCGTTGAGCCACTTTGCTCGGTCAGTGCTGAAGGACCTGCCCTGTTTAAATATAAATGTGGAGATCATCGTTTCCCTCTCCTTTTTTTCTGCAATGAGTCGGATAAAATAAAAAAACAGTGATTTGGAGGTACGGTTCCGTGCTCGCGAATTTACTGCATCAGTGGCGAACAGCGTTTCATGCGTCCAGCATTCGTATATACAAAATGCACCGCACGAGGCATTCGGTTCGGCCTCGGCTTGCCTCATATGCGTATGTGCTCAGGTCTGTACCCGCCTTAAGGCTATAATTTGGTCATAAATTAATAATTTAAAAACACCGTATTAATAATTATTTCATAATTTGTACCATCTTTAACAATTAAGATAGCAGCACTCGAAATCACCAAAATTGCTACAAATTTCCGAAATCATTACCGAAAATCATGACCGAAATTATCACCGAATTCAATTTGCATCGAAATATAAACAGCAGCAGGTGGTGGATAAAAACTGAAGAGCTTAAAAAGGCAATTTGAATATTCAAGAAGAAAGTTTAATAGATAATTTATAGGAAATACGCCGAAATCAATCATACGAATTTTTGGTGATTTCCAAAATACGGGTACGTTTTGACCTTACTTGATTACCCCTCGGGTTTCACCTAGCAAAATATTTTATATGAAATACAGGATTCTTTTTGCTACTATACAAGACATATCGAGACATTTAAATAGAAGCTGATTTTAATAAGAGATCCTGTAATAAAAATCCTGTAAAGTGGCTTTGGGATGAAACTTTTGAAATTAACTAATTGTTTAAACTGTATTTTATTTAAATTATATAGTTACCTAATTAAATTAACAGGTAAAGATTAAAAACATTTATAAAAATTTAGGTCATAGAGAAAGGATTATCAGGTAATGACAGTGTGACAGGCCTCTGGCTTCACCCCGCTGTGAAGTAGGATGTCGTGTTTGGCGCTCAAGTGGTGAAACTAGAACGAGGGTTTCTCAGACACCAGTTTTGCCGACGCAGATTGCTCTGCGACCCTGTAATACACCAGTGTGCACTCAAGGTAGGCTCAGTGGAGTTAACATATCTCCAGGCGGTTCGAGGGTCCTTCGAAACGTTCCCATACATTTTTATATTTAATTAAAAATAAAATTTAGTGACTTCGTCACAACAGACAATACATATGTTGGTAGAAAAACTGTCATAATAAGAGAAATTTTAATAAAAACCACTTCTTGTTTAGTTAAATACAAAAAAGGAAACATTTTATCAAAATATGCAGTAAATAAATATACATGCAAAGCAGAAAATATACTCTTATCTTATTTGTTTTCTTTACCTTAACATCTCCAAACATTTCAACAAGATCATGTGACTCACTGCCCAGGGCCAGATGATATAAAATATCTTGGTCCATAAGTTCGATGTGCGGGTTTCGTAACCGTACGGAGCCATCGAGATACCTGAAAAAAGCAAAAAGTTAAAATCAGTAAATAAAAAAAATATGTAGATTAGGTTGTGATTATTACTATGGTTTTTCTTTAAGGAACTCAACTGTAATAGACATACAATTTCTCATCCATACAGAATTTATACAAAATGTATTCTACCAGGCGATGGTATACTCGTTGGTTAAACCTATAATGCCCTGATAATAGATATTCTCTTCTGGTTATATTCTTGTAAGAATTATTTAACTAATTAATTATTATCTTATCATAGTGAGATATTACACCATTTGTGAGGTTTCATTCTCTGATTTGGGCATATTCTGATTACTATCTTTATGACAAGGTTTCATTGACACCGGCGTATGGTTTTCGACTATTCAAAACCTTCTAGACTCTTTACCAAATCAGCTTCATTGCCCTTATGTCCATGGACGCAGCAAGTTTCATTCGCGCCGTCGCGTCCTGCGAAATATTGATATAATGAGAATTGAGTCAAAAAAACTTATTTTTACAGCTTCAATATATATTTACATTTCATAGACTCATTAGTATTTGAAGCAATGATACAAAAACAGTGATCGAATACTAATTTTTGACATAACAGAAATTATAAATATTAAAAAAACAGAATGCACTTGGCATGTGTCCATAGATAAATTAAACGAAAGAAAAAAAGGAAAATACATATTATATCACAGAAACTTTTCTAGTTTTGCTTTTAGCAAATTCAATATCCACCTGCTTTAAAAAGCCGGATTCTATAGAGGATTCTATGAGGATTTTCTAATCGCACCTGACCCATTCTAGATCGTAAGTAACTAATATTTTAGTAATGTTGGTTTAGAAAATGATTTATCAGCTGCAGCTACAGAAATTGGTATAATTAATACATATTGCAATGATAACAAAAGTTCTGTCTGTTTACGTCTATTTAGTTTCGATTTAATCAGTTAAAGCTTCTTTAGGAGTTGTTTACATAAATTAAATAGGCCTGCCCAGACTACTTGCTAATTTCATCAAAATTCCATAAACATTTAAAAACATCAGAATGAGAGGATACAAACTCAATTTTTTTTAATTTACAGATTAAATTTTAATTTGTAGGATAATAGTTTTCTATTTTGTCACCCAAGGTTTCTCGACTTTTGAATTTGGCATCTACAAGAATGTCATTGATATCTTTATTTGGTCGATATTTAAAAAAAAAATTAGTTTATCCAAACTTTCCCAAGCGTGCGAAATAATGAGATTGTTAGTTTGCAGAATATAATATTATGTTACAACAATTACTTAATTTTCATATCACAAAACTACCATAGAATTTTTTAAAAGTCGTAATTTTTAATCTTGTTACAGTAGTTTGTCCAACAAGTGTAGACAAAGTTTGAGCACGAAGCCTTAAATGGATTGCTTAATCGTTAATCGTTAAGTGCGATACGAACCATCCACTCGAGTTGTACAGTATATTTTTTCTACGACCCACTAACAAAGTTTAAAAATGATTTTAGGTTATTGAGTCAAAAAAAACTAATTTAAATGTCTTTTACTAATTTATAGAATAAAATACCCATAGAAAAAAAAATAAGATTTAATTAGTCTCGAATCCCAGATTTGAACCCGAAACCCCTCGCATGGCAACTCAATACGCTACGCTCAGCTCCATCGACACACCTTATTAGTTTTAATACTAATAATTAAATTGATATCATACAGTTTTATTAAAATTTATGATTTATTTGTAAATATGGACGAATATCTTGTGAAATGGTAGGTATTATTTATCGATTATTCACAAAATTACTCATTTTTAATTATTATATTTAATCTCAACACCTAAAAAACTTCTAAAAATTAGTTTGACATAATTGTCACTAATTTAAAATTTAAAATAGTAGTTGTGCAGTATATTTTTTCTATTACCCACTAACGAAAATCTACAAATTTTAAAAAGTATTTTAGGTTATTAGGACAAAGTAATTAATTTTAAAACAAGTTTATGACTTTTAATAATTTATAAAATAAAATAAACCTAAAAAAAGATTTAATTTAATTAGTCCCTAGCCCAGATTTTCCCTGTTCTCACCTCCATCGACACACTTTAAATTTTTGTTTTAATATTTTGTTTTAATTAAATGCTATTATTTATCGATTCTACACAAGACTAACTCATTTTTACGTATATTTAATTCCAATAACTAAAAAATATACTGATAATTAGTTTGACAGAATTGTCACTTAAATAAAATTTAAAAAATAGCAGTAGCCGGTTGACCAAAATGTGAACTGTGATTGATGGATTTAATTTTTTTGCAGTCTTCTTCTTCTTCTTCTTCTTCTTCTTCTTCTTCTGAATGGTTATGAAACATATTAATTCAGTTAAATGAATTTATTCGTTCAGTTTAACGCAATGGCATACTTTTTCGTTTTGTAATCTGTCGTAGATAAGCTAATTATTTTTATTAATTTTTATTCATTTTTATTCATTTTTATTCATTTTTATTCATTTTTATTCATTTTTATTCATTTTTATTCATTTTTATTCATTTTTATTCATTTTTATTCATTTTTATTCATTTTTATTCATTTTTATTCATTTTTATTCATTTTTATTCATTTTTATTCATTTTTATTCATTTTTATTCATTTTTATTCATTTTTATTCATTTTTATTCATTTTTATTCATTTTTATTCATTTTTATTCATTTTTATTCATTTTTATTCATTTTTATTCATTTTTATTCATTTTTATTCATTTTTATTCATTTTTATTCATTTTTATTCATTTTTATTCATTTTTATTCATTTTTATTCATTTTTATTCATTTTTATTCATTTTTATTCATTTTTATTCATTTTTATTCATTTTTATTCATTTTTATTCATTTTTATTCATTTTTATTCATTTTTATTCATTTTTATTCATTTTTATTCATTTTTATTCATTTTTATTCATTTTTATTCATTTTTATTCATTTTTATTCATTTTTATTCATTTTTATTCATTTTTATTCATTTTTATTCATTTTTATTCATTTTTATTCATTTTTATTCATTTTTATTCATTTTTATTCATTTTTATTCATTTTTATTCATTTTTATTCATTTTTATTCATTTTTATTCATTTTTATTCATTTTTATTCATTTTTATTCATTTTTATTCATTTTTATTCATTTTTATTCATTTTTATTCATTTTTATTCATTTTTATTCATTTTTATTCATTTTTATTCATTTTTATTCATTTTTATCATTTTTATTCATTTTTATTCATTTTTATTCATTTTTATTCATTTTTATTCATTTTTATTCATTTTTATTCATTTTTATTCATTTTTATTCATTTTTATTCATTTTTATTCATTTTTATTCATTTTTATTCATTTTTATTCATTTTTATTCATTTTTATTCATTTTTATTCATTTTTATTCATTTTTATTCATTTTTATTCATTTTTATTCCTTACTGGAGGGGAGCAAACCTTTAGAAAAATTTAAATGGCATGGGGTGGTGAATGATAGCTCATTTGAAAGGGGGTTTTATTCTCTATTCAACCGTGCAAAAATTTTGAAATTTGCTTCATTAATTCACGACTAATTATTGTTTCAGAATAACGGAAATTAAAATAGCGCATTCATCCTTAGAATTAAAATTCGGCCCTGCATGATATCGGTTTTGGTTCAGACGTGAAGTAAAACTTTTTGCCATTAGATAAGGTCACTGTTAGTTTAGTTGCTTTCCTATTTGTGATGTTTTGTTATTTTTAAACATTAATAAATCAACACGTAATAAGGCAAATTTCAAAATTTTTTACACGGTTGAATAGAGAATAAAACCTCCTTTCAAATGTGCTATCACTCCCACCCCATGCCATTTAAATTTGTCGAAAGGGTTGCTCCCCTCCAGTAAGGGATGAAATTAAGGGTAAACTATTCATACAAAAATGTACATTGTAGAAATCAAAAATCGACGTGTCTCGGCGATTTTCCTAACAAGACTCCAATAACGAGTTAGTTAGGGGGTAAGACTTATGATGCTCACTGTATATAGATAATAAAACATTTTTTTATAGTCAGGCTAATCGTATCATTTTTGGTCAAAATTAAAATACAAAGCCATTGGGACAAAACAGAAAGTAATCAAGTAATTAAAATATATAAGCATATTTAAAAACAAACAAACAAACACTGATCTGTCCTTGCATGATTTTTAAATAAGTAAACAGGTTGTAGAAAATATGTGTAAAATTTCATTAGCACTCAAACAATAATACATATTTGAATTTCTAATTCTAGGAAATGTGCGGAAAATTTTATTAGCACTTGAACAAATATTATTTAGACTAATATATAGAAAATAAAAATAAAAACTGTGACCAACATGTAAAATAAAGAAAAAGAAGAAAATCTCACAGCTATGCGTCACAAAATAATACCATTAACCGTTTCACTTCGGAAAACAACTACTTCTTTGGCAAATAACGCAACTGGAATTGAATAATATCCAAAGAAAAACAGCAAAGATAGAAAATTATTTTTAACAATCTAGATCCTTATCTGATAACACATTCCCTAATTATTTTAATTAAACATTAAATAATTATCTAGAAGAGCCCGCTGTCAATTATATATTATAAATTATAGAAATTAAATAAAAAAGGCTAATAGCGTGTTATAACAATAGAAAAAATATAGTATTCAACTCGCAAAAAATGCTCATTTCCTTATTCTCGTATGATTTACACCATTCGCCTGGGGCTTGTTCCGTAAATATCAACTTGTAGGAAATGAGTATCATTGCTTGTTCGTTAAACAATATAGGAAGGTACTATTTTTTTCATTTCTAATATAAAATATTCTTTATGAATTATTATTGATTTTTATTTTTGAAATACATTTATTTAGTAATAACAATTATCATATTATAAAAAATTGATTAGGTGTTAGTGTCGTATAAAATTGTTTAATTTTTCTAAACCGATAATTTTTTTAGAACGATGTTTGGAAAATATAAAAGTAAAAAAATCTTTAAAAAAAATTTAAATATTGACTATTGAGGATAGACCATCTCTGACTTCTTAGGGGCAATGGGGATTTACTTATAACGCTAAAAGGAACTTACAAGCAAAAAGCATTAAGAGCAAACCGGATCTCTCGCGAAAGCAAAAATGTTTTCAGGATTTTCTAATATAAAATTGTATTTATAAGTGCGCCACTGGGAATACTTCGCGATATTATGTTTCTCAAGAATATTGAGAGCTTTAAATTTATGCAACAATAAGGTAGCCCTCTACAGAGACGTTTAAGAAAAAAAGGTGAGAAATCCTCCCATTTAAAAATTACTAGATATTTATTAAAACAAAAAGCAACAAATTCCATTAGATTTAATACAGAATGGCGCGTAAAAGATTTTTTAAAAGTCCGTTTAAAAATTTTCAAAACAAATACTTTTCGAATGTTTCCTGAAAATTTCACAAAAATCATACCAAACAAAATAAAAGCTCAGAAGAAATTATAAATTTTCAAGGTGTTCGGTTTTTCTGAAAATCAGGTTTTATAGATATTGACAAAAATGCATTTCTAATTCGTTTGCGGAATATTTAGGGGTTATCATCAACTATTTAGAACCAAAACATATTTCGAAATCGATATACGACAATATTGTAAAATCGATGTATGTACAAAATATAATTATTATGAATTAACTTTCGATTCAAAATATTACGCATTGTATATCAACAGTTTTTTATCTTTATGACGTAATTTTTTGAATTTGAAATTATGATTTACCAACGATTGTTTTTATCAAGAGATTATGTTTTATGTTACAAGGTTACGAAGATGTCCTTGAACTTAGAAATAATTATAAAAATACATTTATGAAGCCCTTCTTTGAACCAAAAATAATGATTGGTTACTCATAGCGCTGTTTCCTTTTATATTCATTACTTTAACTGGTTTATGAGAAACAGAAAGATTAAACTCGTACAATATTGCAGGTACCTACTCGCTAAAATGTATGGTTTTAAGTTAAAATTAGGTAGGTATCGGTTGAATTTTTAATGTCTATAAGTAAGTTACACATGACAGATCACTGTATACCTAACTAAATGTTTTAATTTATTCTTTTATTTTAAGAGAGAAAAAATAAGTATATGAATATACAGGGTGGCCCATCGAAAACGTACCGCAAGGCATTACAGGGTGGAAAAGAACTTTTCGGAGAAATCCAAAAACATTTCTTTTGGCGCAAAAGGCATAGTAAAACCTTCAACCCCTTCAGTAGGGGTGTCATCCTCCAAAATTTTTCAAAGGAGAAGGGGGTCAAGTGATACCTCATTAAAAGGGTCTTGTCATTCCCTATACAACGCTTTGTTGAAGGTTTTACTATGCTTTTTGCGTCAAAAGGTGTTCCCTTGACAAACAAACTTGACGTGTTTTTGGATTTCGCCGAAAAGTTCTTTTTCACCCTGTAATGCTTTTATACGTTTTTAAATAATATAAAACTCTAGTTCTATAGTTTCTAATTTTATAGTATTCCAAATTTAAGAAATAAAGACCGACCTAGCGTCATTAGTTATGATTTACCTTCGCTGTTTTTGATTTGTTGACTGTTACATAATTATCCTATTTTATTAGATTAGAAACTTACCTTGTCTCTTTATTCTCTCCATTAGTATGACTTTCTTCATTTTCTTCTTTATTATTATGGATCTGATTTCCGTTTAAATTTCCATTACTGTTTTCCAACATTTTCAAAATCAAATTTTATACTGAAATAGGTATATGTAATATTTTAGAATGAAAATAAATTGTTTTTTGAGTAGACATTTAATTAATAAAAAGACAGACTGGGTAAGTTTTAAAACTGAATTAAGTAATAGAATCGAACTAAGTGCACAACTAAGAACAAAAAAACAACTAGAGTACGAGCTGGAAAAATTTGTCATTGGAAATACAGCAATCATCATGGAACAATACACTAGAAATTACAAGAAAAAACGTAGGCAATTCATACCCTGGAGAAATAAAAAAAAGGTAAATCACCAGATTCCCTGAAGATAAAGTAGTTCTCAACAGACTAATTCAACAACTAAACGAGAAATAATCACTATTAAAAATGAATCAATAGACACATATCTCAGAAAATTGACGAACGATAAAAATACTGATTCTTCTCTGTGGAAAATGTCTAGGAAACTTAAACGTCTAATAGTCCATATGCCACCAATAAAAGAATACAACGGAAACTGGGCAAGATCAAATAAACAAAAAGCTGACATCTTTGCAGATCATCTCGAAAAAATTTGTCAACCGAATGAAGGACGAGAACTCGATTTATTGAAACAAAAGAACACAAACTTAGTAGAAATTCCTAGGGTAACACCTAAAGAGGTAGCTAAGGAAATCAAAGAAAATATCAATTCTAAGACAACACCCGGGTATGATCTTATTACAGGTGAAATACTAAAACAATTGACAAGAAAAGCTGTGGTTAAACTTACTAATATAATAAACGCTGTATTTCGACTAGAGCATGTACCTGGAAAGTCGCTGAAATTATAATGATACCCAAACCTGGAAAACCACCAAATGAAGTGAAGTCCTATAGACCTATATCCCTGTTACCAGTTTTATCTAAACTTTTCGAAAAACTTTTACTAAAAAGATTGAAACCACTGATAGACAGTAAAAATATAATACCTGACCACCAATTTGGATTTAGGAACAAGCATTCCACTATTGACTAAGTCCACAGAACAACGAATGAAATAGAGAAAACACTAGAAGAAAAGAAGATCTGCACCTCATTCTTTCTAGATGTAGCTCAGGCTTTCAATAAAGTATGGTTAGAGGGCCTTGAATATAAAATAAATAAACTTCTACCTAGACAATATTGTGACATCTTAAAATATTACTTGACTGATAGAATCTTCCGAGTTAAACAAGAATAAGAATATTCCAAGCTTAAAGAAACTAAAGCAGGGGCACCTCAAGGAAGTGTTCTGGGATCAGTTCTCTACCTGTTATTTACCTCCGACATGCCATAAACGCAAAATGTGAAAGTAGCCACATTTGCCGACGACACGGTCATACTTGCCATCGGTAAAACCATAGAAGATTTGACCAGAAAACTTCAACATGCAACTAATAAAATCTATGAGTGGACAAAAAGATGGTGCATTAAGCTCAACGAAACTAAAACGGTTCAGGTTAACTTCACTAATAAAAGATCAGTAGAATACCTACCAGTGACATTAAATAATACTAGAATACCATATTCTAATTCGGCGAAATACTTGGGAATGAACCTTGAACCTAGATATTAAATTAAAGTGGAAAGAACACATAAAGGAAAAACGGGAAGAGTTGGGTATTAAATATAGAAAATTATACTGGTTGATGAATAGAAAATCAAACCTTTCAATCGAAAATGAACTTTTAATATATAAACAAGTACTGAAGCCAGTATGGACTCACGGCATACAGCTCTGGGGGTGTGCCAGTAAAACTAACATAAATATAATACAACGTTTTCAGAACAAAATATTAAGGGCAATAGTAAACGCCCCTTGGTAAGTTATAAACTCAGACCTACACAGAGATCTGAGATTAGTAGAAGAAGAGAGGAAAACCATCGCAAAAAAACATGAAAAAGGACTGCATGATCATGTCAACATCGAAGTTCTACAGTTCCTGGACAACTGATACCTAATGAGAAGGCTCAGAAGGACCGAACCATTTGAATTAGTGATGTGAAAGTGTGTTAAAGCAGAACACAGTGCATGTGTGCATTGTATAGTTATCAGAACAGAAAGAAGAAGATACCATTGGGTAAACTCTTAGTTTTAAGCCTCTTAAGTTTACTTAAGTTTATAATAAAGAAATTGCTGGTTGGCTGAAATATAGCCAGGTGCAATGCAAACTAAAAAAAGAAAAATTTAATTAATTATTAGAAAAGAAAAAATAATTTAAAAATATACATAGGTACGGTGTTAATCAAAAGTCCCGTCCCCTTCTTTTCTTTTTAACCGGGAGTAAAAAAATTACAAGATAAACGAGCTATTTATGTACCAAGAGCGTAATAAGGATGGTTATGCCCGGAGGATAACAGATCCAGCCCGAGGGCCTTTGGCCCGAGGGATGGATGTTATCCGATGGGCATAATCATCTATTTACGCCCGTGGTGCATACAAGATTTTATATTTCACTTCAATTTAAATTCGCTTTTAATTCAATATAATTGGATTCGGTCATTTTTATAAAAAAGTGTAAACTATTTGACAAGTATCAACGCACAAAACAATTCCTGAAATAAAATCAACAAGTACACCTAACCATAGCAACGTAGCACGCTTTGATTAAATTTATATAAAACATAACAGAAAGTTTTGAAATAAACGTCAAATATTCAGTTTGTTTACATTTTGAAATTCGCAATAAAAGAAAAATGAGAGTTTTTAGGATTGAAATTGTAGTTTTTATAAAATCAGGAAACCATATTAATTAAAGTTCATTATTTATAACAAGTCTTTCTTAATGATAAATAGTTTTTTGAGACAGTACAAACGGGGGCATAATAGCGGGCGAAATGAATTCATTATGCCCTCGTCTCTAAGATACATGTTTACATAGGTATCTCGAATCAGGCGCGAAATGAACCTGTTATTGTGAAGTGAAATATAAAGTCTATTACTACTAGCTAACATATAAACTTAAATGTCAAGTTCAAACAAAACCAAACATGTCATAAAAAATATTTAATAAATGACCAAAATCAATGTTTTAGTTGCGGTTCATTTTGAATAACTTATAATGATATTTTTATTAAATATGCCAGAGTTGATTATTTGTATAGAGTATTAGTGTTTAACCTGTTCAAAATATTATGTTGGTTAATACAGTGATACGCTGTTCGAGGTGGACCACAAGGAACTGCATCAATCGATATCTCAGAAATTGAAATTGAAAATTTGGGTACTTACTTGCTAAATGCCTTGGGGAGTCAGCGAAAATACTTTCATCGCATTTTCGGTTATACCGGAAACAAACCTTCAGTCACTTATTTTAAATACAACACTATTATTATATTTTTGGATTATACTCAAGATTCTAGGCAGATTTTATGTATCATGTTCTATATGAAAAATCTACTTATAGCAGTTTTCTCAATCTCATTTTAAACCTCATTTATGAACATCCTGTATAATTAGTTATACAAAATGAAAATATTTTAGATGAATAAGCTCGAAGATATCTAGCAAGTTGCCAAACTTTAAAATTTTTACCTGTTACCCTTAATTCTAAAGGAGATATTGGTTATTTAGACTCGTCATATGGAGGAAAATAATAATCGATAAAGGCTTACCCACTAACATTTGCTAGGTTATTAAATATAGTGCACAAACCGTAAATATACCTACTTGAAAATTAACAATAAAAATTATAAAACTGTATCAACCAATAAAAATCGTAAGTGAACTTAAAACAAAATAAAATCATAAAAACATTCTTACTTCAACTATTTCCAAAACTGCTGTTGCTTTTTACAAAACATAAATTGTACTGATATGTGAAGTAAAGGGTATGAAAATGATGTAAAACCTTATCAAAGTATACGTAAACATTAGTTTCAATGCGAAAAATAATTATATGAATATTCATACGATAGATAAACATTGTGACTAGTCTAGTGTGTGCAAATCTGATATTTCGAAAAATTATAGATAAATCCAACATCGCACATAGGGGTATTTGAATTATCTACGCGGCCAGAAGTCCATTTTACAAAATGCAAAATTTTTAAATAAAAACGACTACCTGGGTTAGGGGACTAGTTAGAGCACATTCCATTTTCCTTCACTGGCAATTTTAATTTTACTGTTTTAGTTGATATATGTGTATGTGAAAGCGTTAACCAGTGAATATTTATTATTTTACATTTTTTTTCTAAAGAGAAAGTTATGGATCCCAGTATAGTAGGTAATGACACACTATCTGCAATATTTTTAAGCTATTGCATAGCTTTTATCGCGGGCTTTGAGTGCGGCGACCGAATCAAGAAATTCCGTAACGACCGTAATGATAAAAAAACCTAACCCCCCACTCCGACCGGCACAGCGGTGCGGCGTTAAACAATATTAAAATCGAAAAATCGAAAAATCGAAAAATCGAAAAATCAAAAAATCGAAAAATCAAAAAATCGAAAAATCGAAAAATCGAAAAATCAAAAAATCGAAAAATCGAAAAATCGAAAAATCGAAAAATCAAAAAATCGAAAAATCGAAAAATCGAAAAATCGAAAAATCGTAAGATCGTAAGATCGAAAAATCGAAAAATCAAAAAATCGAAAAATCAAAAAATCGAAAAGTAACGAAAATAAACCTAACACCCCCCATCTCCGACTTGCACAGCGGTGCGGCGTTGAAAGCTGTGCATCGTCTAACGTCGTTTCAGTTCGGCAGACTTCGGCACGGTGTTTGTGTGCGTGCGACTAGATGTATGCGTGTAGACTAGCTGCTAACTGCTCATGGGTCCTATGATTGAACGTTTACGTTATCCGTAACGTACATGTTAGGCCGAGTTTTAACAGCAACGTGCCAAATTCGTATGATGTAAAGTTTTTCATAACACGTTACTGTTATTTTCCACTTGTTATGTTCTAATTTAACGTATCGCCTCAACAGCCTCGAATAACATGCCGTTAAGTGTCCAACTTCTATGTTACCACTTTATTTGTTTATTATTTAATTATCTAATACCTATATTGCTAATTATCTGAATTCTTAGTATATTTGAATTTGTTTTTAAATTATATGATTTGCAAATACTAGCCAAAGGTTTGATTTTTTTTTATCTAATATATTTGTTTTCCCCGTGAGAATAATTTTGTTTTTTCTAACAAAATTATGTAGTTCCTCATACTATTACACAGTTGTTTTAGCTAATCTTTTCGCCATAAAAAATTAAATAAAACTGAAAAATGAACTACAAAAAATTCTAACCTAATTGTTGTTTTTTTTTTTCATTCAGAAAAACATGAAAAACCTCATTTTAGTCATTTTTAGAAATGAAGTGAAGTTAGGTACATTTTGTACGCACGCGTAATAACGCAAATAAATACTTTCTTCCATTCATAACAGCCAGCTCAACATCTTCTGTTATCGACTACTTCAATCATACGGATATGACACCTACTGTTATTTCATACGTTATCTATTCCCTGTTAGCATAACATAACAGATTCGTGTTAAACTTAACGTAAACGTTCAATCATAGGACCCAATAAAAGTTGGCACGTTGCCTAAATCAGAATATCAATTTAATAAATAAAAAAAATGCCATGTACGTGAAAAATATGAAATGGACGTATGAATAAATTACCCTTATTTTAAATAATACAAAATAAAACATTTAGAGAAATTGTAAAATTATGATACTCGCACCCAAATACCTGATAAGCCATCATGACCCTTAACCCAAATAAATTATGTTTTCTTGGTGCAAAGTTAATATTTCACGTTCTGAAAAGATGAGCATAAACAATAAACTTTCAATACTTGTATAATAATTCAAGAAGTTTGTGCCCAAAAACTTAAGTACCTACTTATAAAGCAAGAAAGAAGTTTATAGAAAAGATAAAAAGTCAATAACATTGTACAATATGTTTCTTGAAAGATGACTTAAAGTTCAGCCAGTTCTGAGGAGCCGACGATCTCATTACACTATCGATTTTATGCAAATTTTAAAATTTACATAGATACATTAATATTTTATTTGTATGTTTCATAAAAAATTATTAAACATTATTTGAATTTTATAATAATTTATCTTCTGTTTATTACAGTATTAAGAAGATTCAATTAACTATAAGGCTACGAAATTAATGTATAATATACATTTAAACGAAAAAAGATATAAAACAGATCCTTGTGGTGCACTATCAGAATAAATAAGATTTATATAAAATGTTATACTCACAATAAATTTAGAAGTTTAATAAATCATTAAAACACTAACATATTTTTGTAATATAAAATAAAATAAAATAAAAGCAACTATTTTATTTTAAATGGGCAGACAATTGCCCGATGCAATTTTATGAAAGCCATACAGTTATTAATTACAGTGTGCGAAAACAGTTGAAATTAAATTTAACTTCTAAATATATAATGCGATATTTTTAGCTAAATAAATAAATGTAAAATACCTGAAGTTCAAAAAATATAAGAAGTATTTACTGCACTATTTTAACCACAGTTTGATTCACTTTTGTAAACGGTTTCCTATGTACCTATTGTTGATAGCAAAAGTTCTCACATGTGCATATGCATGTGTATGTGAGTTTAGCGTGTACTTGTTACTTGCATTCATAAAATATGAGATATGAGATACAACGAGATACGAGAAACCCACCGGTTGTGGTAAAGGGGAATAGAAATCTACTGTGTGTGCCGATATTGGTAACGGATCGCAAATAGGGGAAACCGGGACAAAAATGTTATGTTTGTTAACGACAATTTATTTTATAGTTTCTGGTAAGTTTCTTTTAAAAGAAATCTACTAGAATTAAAATTTTTCCTTATTTTATTTTATTAGACTTTATTAAATTTATACTTAGGGCCCTATCCTCGGTTATCGTTTTCTAAAAGACGTATACACTTTAGCAACATGTGAGCGATTCGCTATTCCCGACATTAATTTTAAAAAAGAGTAGGTACGTTTTTAAAACGGGTAATTTACAGCGATTAGAATTTCCCTCTAAGAATTTAGCCAATGTCACTTATATGTCACTTTTAGGATGATAACGGAATTTTAAATGATTAATGTAATTGATTGATTTTAACAAATTCTGTTAGGTAAACTACTTTTTATTTATACATATACAAAATTACCTAAGTTCTTATAAATATGGTTTGCAGTGCTAAGGTAGCCTATAGCTGAGAATTTCTTTCAATTATTATTAATTCAAACATGCAGAAGCAGAATGCATTTTTTGAACTAAATGGATATTGAATTAATATTTTTTATATCTTACTGTGTAAAATGTAATTATTAATTCATGTATGTAATATTTACATACAGTAATAATAAATAAATGGGGACGTATTCCGAAAAACGCTCAGACACATCGATTGGTATTTTCAATTGCGCTTTTTTTAACAAAAACTTTTTATACAGGATGTATCATCTAACACAGACCAATACCAACTTGCTTATTTTAAACTTAACACCCTTTATATTTTTCAATTTTTAGATTATTCAGAAAATTCTAGACATATTTTATATACTATGTCCTATACCTAACTGTTTCGGAAATATTAAATGTTTTCCGATTTATTGCAAAAATTAACATTATTAAAATAAAATTATTTGATTACAGAAATTCGTTACAACACTCTCAAAAACTAATAAGTAATACTGTTTATTTCTTGATAATATAACAAAAAAAAACCCTTCTCAATGTAGGAGATTATTATTATTATTATTTATTATTATTTACTGACATGAGCCGAAAACCGAAGTCCTATAAAGCTCATATTATTCAAAAAAATTTAGTTAAAAATAAAAAAAAAATTTAATTTATAAACTATGTTCAAAATGCCTGCCGCGAACCTCTTGGCAACATCCTAATTTGAAATAAAAACGTTTTCTAACGCTACTCAGCATCTCAGGCATGACCGGTCTAATTGCAAGCGTTATTCGTCTTAAGTCAACTAGGATGAGAGGTTTAGAATTAACAATAATAAAACTTTTCTTATCTCATTCAGTTCTTTAATAGTTGTTGGCTATTTTACAAACTGGTTAAACATTTATGGATACAACGTGTGATACAGAAGAACTTAGAACTACCACTTGCAAGAAACCGCAAGCAAATTAACATACAGTGTAGAACAGCCAAATGGAATAAATTTGGCAATGAATAAATGGGGGCGTGTTCGCAAATACGTTGATTGGTATTTTTAGTTGCGCATTTTTTTAACAAAAACTTTTTATACAGGGTGTGTCATGTAACAATGGCCAATACCAACTTTCTTATTTTAAATGCAACACCCTGCAATTTTTCAATTATTGGAATATTTAGAAAATTCTAGACATATTTTATATACAGGGTGTTCCATCTCAGACGAGCCACCCCATATATTTCTTATCCTATAGTAAAAAAAAAAATTTCCAGAAAAACGAACGTCGGATGATTGTCTTTGGGGGACATCTTTTGACGTATATTTGAGGCTTGAACGAGCAACCCCCTATGAGAGGGCGCTTCAACCCCTCAAAATTGAATAGGGAAGAGGGGTTGAATGATACTTCATTTCTTGGAAGCCTATTTACAACGGTGTATGAAAAAAATCACATTCTTAAAAAAAATTAATTGTTTTATTATGCTTACAATAAAAAAAATCAAAACTGCCTTTTAAATTAAATGTTTAAATTGTCCTCCATTGACTTCCATACAATAATACAATCTTGACTGAAAACCGTCTCTAACATGGTCCAGCATAATTGGAGTTATTTGACGACACTCATTTACAATTCGTTGGCGTAGTTCGTCCAAATTTTCAGACTGAGTCACAAAAATCTTGTCCCCACAAGAAGAAGTCAAGAGGGTTCAGGTCAGGAGAGCGAGCTGGCCACTCCATAGGACCTCTTCTTCCAATCCAACGACCAGGGTATTTGTAAATTGAGGTATTGGCGAACTGGTGCAGCGTAGTGAGGAGGAGCTCCGTCTTGTTGGAAATGCTATTGTTGTTCAATAAGTAGAGGATCGTTTTCTAATTTTTCTATTATTAACGGATTAATCGCATTTTCCAGCATTTCAAGATAAATTTTGCCATTTAAATTACCAGGAATAAACAGAGGTCCAATTAGGTGGTCTCTCAAAATTCCTACCAAAACGTTTAGCCTTTCCGGATATTGAGTGTGAGCTTCTCGAAATACATGACGATTTGTATCGTTCCAAATTCTACAGTTATGCTGGTTAACCTCTCCATTAAGTGAAAAAGTGCATTCGTCAGAAAAGCAAACGTTGTACAAGAAATTTGGGTTATTGTTGATACGCTCGGCCAACTCTTGCCTTCGACCCAAATCATCATCATGAATTAATTTAATTTTGTACGGATGGAACTTGTGTTTATGTAAAATTCTGAAAACGTTAGATTGTCCGACATCTAGGCAATCAATATTACTACTTTCTTAGTTGCATATGCATCATTTAATATAATATTATTTATTCTCAACGACTTGTAGTGTGTTTATATAGCTTATTAAAGTTATTTAGTTTTAAAAAAAGTGGGTTATTTTGTTGTGTATTGTGTTTTAATTATTTTGTGCTGTTTTAAAATGGAAAATAAGGATCAAAACAACATTATTATTAAGTTTAACCGAATTCCATTTTTATAAGTCAACATGTCCTTCTTTAATATAAACTTTCAATAACAATGTATATTATTGATTTTAAAACCAAAAAAGTTATATTTTTAAATGTTTTCTTTTCGCAACTGATGACAATAAATTTTTCGAAACCAGTTTCATAATGTTTAACATTATGCAACTAGTTGCGTAAAGTAGACCATTTTGACACTTGCTGCGATTACAAAAATTTCACTTAATACGTCAAAATTAGAAAAAAAATATTTAAAAAAGAAGCGGCATACATTTTTAATATACCAAAAGTATCATGATAATTATGAATGTGAACGGATATGTACGCCGTTGAACGTAAAAATCACAAGTTGATGTCATGGTTCTCTAAAATAATGCTGTGTTGAAGAAAACACGACTTTATTATTTTAGGATGATATCTTGGTTGGTAACACTTGAAAAAGGGACACGCATACATCACTTCGTTGAGACAGTTTGCGTACATGTCTGTGGCCGTTTTACCATAAAATCCTACTTCAAATTGGATATTGGTGTCTTATTTTCTTTATTTAAAACCTCAACCCAGAGAAATAGTTTACATCAGAAGCGGAATGATTAAAAAATCGGGAGAGTAAAAAAAATTTTTTTGTTGTGCTGCATCTCTTTTTTAATTGTGAAAGTGTCTTCATTGTTATTATTATACCATGGGTAATAGAAAGTGTACCGTCGAGTGTAGCACTGTGTACCAAGATTGTACCGTCGAGTATAGATCTGTTTGCGATTATTATACCGTCGATTATAGGTCTGTGTACCTCGATTGTACCGCCGAGTATATTTCTGTATATTATGATTGTACCGTCGAGTATAGCTCTGTATACCACGATTATACCGTCGAATATAGCTCTGTGTACGATCATTGTGTCAAGTATAGCTCTGTGTACCACGATTGTACCGTCGAGTATAGCTCGGTGTACCATGATTGTACCGTCGAGTATAGCTCTGTGTACAACAATTGTACCATCGAGTATAGCTCTGTGTATCATGATTGTACAGTCGAGTATAGCTCTGTGTACCACGATTGTACCGTCGACTATAGTTCTGTGTACCATTATCATACCGTCGAATATAGCTCTGTGTACCATGATTACACCGCCGAGTATAGCTCTGTGTACCATAATTGTACCGTCGAGTATAGCTCTGTGTACCAAGATTGTACCATCGAGTATTCCTCTGAGTACTATCATTGTACCGTCGAGTATAGGTGTGAGTGCCCCGCTTGTGCTGTTGAGATTGTTTCTGTGCAAAAGCATTGCCGTCTCTAGCAAAGTTAATATTTGTTTACTAATGTTTTCGTTTGTTACAGCATTATTTAGTAAGGATGGCCGAATGTGAACGGCTATGTACGCAGCTGACCGTAACAATCACAAGTTGATATCATGATTTTTTGGAATAATGCTGAGTTGAAGAAAAGATGACTTTATTATTTTAGAATGATATCTTGATAGGTAACACTTGAAAAAGAGACATGCATACCTGACTTCGTTGAGACAGTTTGCGTATATATGTATTCATTCACTTTTGGTCTGTGGTCGTTTTACCATAAAATCTTACTTAAAATTGGATATCGGTGTTTTATTTTCTTGATTTAAAACCTTAACCCAGAGAAATACTTTACATGAATAACAATTAATACAGTTCTTAAATATTTAGAATTGAAGAGTTGCCCCTCTCACCCCTCTCTGCTTTCATTCTTCAATCTTAAAAGCAGCAGGTGGGAACAAAGAATCTTATTTAATTTGGCCGAAATTCACAGACTCATGAGGTATTTACCAGTACAAGGCTTCCGATATGATATATCTTAGTTATAAGATTAAAGAGATAAAAATTTGCGCTGGCACGCAAGTGAGCTGGCACGCAAGTGAGCTGATTACGCGAGTAATAGCTTATTAACACGTTAAGCGCCATGGGGGTCCCTAGGGATCGCTGAGAATGTTAGGAGGCAGGGCCACAGCGGTCCATTGGACCGCCGGTACGCACATTACTTTCGGTCGCTGTGCAGGCTGGTGGACCGCCTTTAATTCAACTTTACCAGGAAGCATGGACCGATATGGCCTGTGGGCAATAGTCGGCAGTATTGGGTTTAAAAAATACTGATAGGAAAGTTTGTTACACACT